AATATATATATAGGGAGAGGTTCTAATAAAACCTCCTTAGCCTAAAAACTAAAAACCTCCTTCATCCAATGGCTAGGATTCAGTCAAACAGTCAACAGACACATGTATTAATTACCTCATTAAACACATACATTAATTACATCAACAAAATGAATCCAGATTCACTATAGTGAACCCAGATTCATTACCTCAACGAACACGTCCTTCACTGTAGTGAATCCAGATTTATTACCTCAACGAACACGTTTTTCACTGCGGTAAATCCAAATTCACTGCAGTGAATCCAGATTTGTGTTCGTTGAGATAATTAATGTATGTAATTAATGCATGTTCTGTTGACTGTTTGACTGACTCCTAGCCATTGGATTCATCTAGATCCAATGGATGATATTGGTTTTTAGTTTTTAGGCTAAGGAGGTTTTTATTAGAACCTCTCCATATATATATATATATATATATATATATATATATATATATATATATATATATATATATATATATATATATATATATATATATATATATATATATGTGTGTGTGTGTGTGTGTGTGTGTGTGTGACTTTTATTTCCGAAACTCTAGATTATGTAGGATTTGTTCCAATGAGAGTTGGTATAATATGTAACTTTTATCAGAACAAATCCAACCCAAACTAATCTGTATTTTGCAAGGAAATAAGTCATATGATATCTGATTAGAAGAGGAAAAAACAATATGGTTATACACATCTCAAAACTTCTTATGAGAATTGCACTATCATTTTATTTTGCTTGTCAAACACCAACTAGACCCAAAAATTACTTACCGCGTAAACAGAAGAGTCAAAATGAATTGCTAATTAAGGATCATATTTGGAGTTATTCTTCTAACATATTCTATCGATGTAACATTTGTACTGTTGAGAGCAACTAATACCCCCCAACTCCCTGACAACCCTAACCCCAACCACCAAACTCCCTTCTTGTGATACCATAATCTCACGGGTATGCAAAAGTGACTCGCAAGTTTATCAATAAGTTTATTAAAGTCTAAAATTGTGTATAATGCGACAGCTACATAATATTCATATGGATCATTCAGTAGCAGCAAGAAAAAGAGACGAGTCTGAGATATCCAAAAATGATCATAATGTCCAAATTGCCAAAAAAGCCCAGAGAATGTGTCAAAAATCCTTCTAGAAAAGAAGATGACAACCTTCTGCTACAGGACAACTTATGTACTGTGATCCTAGGAATGCTGGAATAGAAATCAACTAAAGCCAAAGGCATCATACAGATTTTGCAGATCAAAAAGAAGCATACAGAGGTATTATTCGTCATTGTGAGATATGGTCTATTAGTTACATTCCAAACTCATATCAGAAAAGAAACATACCCAAAAACTTATCAAACGTTTAATAATCCTTTTCACTTTATTGTTTGATCAGTGAGGAAGACTATACCTACCAGATTAGATTAATGCTTCACAAAGAAGTCCTAAAATCTCTAAAAATCACTTCATTAAGAAATTGTAAGTTGCAGGAAACAGTAACAAACATAAGCTGCGGCACGCAGGTAAGTCTAACAAAACTACCAAAAGTATTAATCCTAAAACAACAGGCAATTAAAATCACAAATTTCATACTTCGAAGTAAGAGGGATTTTCATGTTTGTTAAGAGCATGTTTAAGAGAATAAGCACTAATACTCAAATTATAGTCACTAAAATCCAGCTATTGTTCAAATACAAGTTAAGAGTAAGAAACAGACACCAAAGAGTATGCACCTGTGTACCCCAGTCACCAACGTGGTTCCGTCGTAGAACATCAACTTTAGAGAATTCCAGCATTCGAGCTAAAGTGTCTCCAATTATAGTTGACCTTAAATGGCCAACATGCATTTCTTTTGCAATATTAGGTGAAGAAAAGTCAACCACAGCCCTTTTAACTGATAAAAGTGGTGCCCATGTCTCAATACCATTCAATAGCATACTTTGTATATACTGCACAATAAACCATAGTGAAATTAGAGTAGAATTAGAAAAAGAATGTGCATGTTCCAGTTTATATATAATAAAAAATAAAGTGCTTGTAATCCTCATAAAACTCAACCTGAGCCACCCATGTGCTTGACAGAACTACATCATAGTGAAATTAGAGTAGAATTAGAAAAAGAATGTGCGCGTTCCAGTTTATATATAATAAAAAATAAAGTGCTTGTAATCCTCGTAAAACACAACCTGAGCCACCCATGTGCTTGACAGAACTACATTCACAAAACCTGGTCCTGCAACAGATGTAGACTCAATGATATCTGATGGAGGGAGATTTCTTGCAATAGCCTGCAAAATATATACATCTTATATAAATAATAATATATATAATTACAAGAGTAAACATCTGATTAATGGCTGAGCAAATGAGACCATAATATATCCCAAATATTTATGCACAAACTATGTTTTACAGTAACCAAACCTGACCAACAGAATTTGGGTTTCTATAGTCTGTGGACTTTCCTTTGATCTTGGAAAACAAGCTCATTGCATTATTGCTGCATAACACATAATGATACATCTTTTAGCGCGAGAAAGTAAATCAATTAAATCAAATCACACCAAACGTTTTATAGAAAGTCTAGTCAAGAATTTAGTGTTAACTGTTAACCCAGCTTCTAAAAACTAGTACTACTGAAATGGGATAAAATTAGTTTCAACAATGTTGAAGCAGGAACCAGAGAAAAAAAAACTTGTTCTCTTTCTTGATCGAAATTAGTTTTAAAGCAGTGATATAAGGATAAAGGCCATACCACTGGTAGTCAGCAAATTTTTGGGTAGAAATAGCTACCATTGGCTCTGTGTTTGCCTCATCAGGGAATGTGGTTTTAAGAGACGTTTCAAATAACCTTGAAATTTGTTGCTTCACACTTCCAATTCCATCACCCATCTGTGAATATAGTAAACCATTTATTTAGAAGCAATTTTAAGTTGCTCCCAAAGTTATATAGTAAACCATTTATTTAGTAAACCATTTGTTGCTTCACACTTCAAATAAGCAATATTATAGCAATCTAATAAGAGAGAAACTTAATGAGAGTCATGTAAGAGAAAAGCATAACTTTTACTCACTTTATCTGCTGGTTTCGCTTCCGGAGGAGCCGAAATAGAGGCTTTGCTGCTTGTTGCTGATGACCTCACTGATTTTCTTATCAAGACTGATCTTCTAAAAGCTACTCTATAGCAACCTGTCTAGTCCCACAAGATAAACACCAAATTATCCCAGTTCCGATAATGTAGTAATGCATCAACACCGAGGCCAATGTATTTGAAATTAATTTGAGCGTAAAAGCTATAGTAATAGAACATAGCAACTACATCTACACCTCTATAAACATGTATATGATTATTACGTAGAAAAATTGACAATTACATCAAAAAATTGATGATTATTCGACTAAAAAGCTGAAGGTTGAAGAATAAACTGTAAAATGATAATAAAAGATTTGATCAATAATAAATTTTTGGAGAGAAAAGAAACAATTTTGATACTGTTCAAGAGCAAAATAAGATAAAATTGACTTGAGCTCCAAAAAAAAGTCACGAGATTACCAGCAGAGCTGGTGCGCTGATGGAAGGAGAGTAAGGAACAAGAAGCCGAGGATGAAGCAACTTTCATAATGGGATTATGTAACGCACAAAACAAAAGCTCGTGTTTTTTATTCCAATTTTTCTAGGGTTTATCTAAAATCAAGTCATGGTGAGGGTTAATGGGTAGTGAACTTGGGGTCTCATGATGAAACCGACCCGATAACGATTTGACCCCACCCGTTCAAATTTTGCCCTAATTTACGGAAAGAGAAGAGAAAGAGAGGGATCTACCAGTGAACCGCTGGCGATGGAGCACGCAATTGTCGATTGTTCGGTCGCCGGCGGCGGATTGACGAAAGGAGAGATCTTTGGCCAGCNCCAGCGGAGTTATTTGGCCGACGCAGTTCTTTGGTCAGCGGGGCTGATTCATTTTTTTTAAGCTAGAGAATAAACCTTAAAGAGATTTCCTATTTTGTGTGGATTTTGTTTTTCCGAAAACACCCCTCTAGTAACTAGTTGGATTACACGTGCAAGGCAAGTGGTAAATTTTTTAATTTATTAATTTAGTATTGATTCATTTCATTAAGATTTATTTAATTTAAACCATGTATCAAACATATGGATAGAATTTAAAAATTCAAATGGATTGAATAATAAAATTACATTTATGTATCATTTACTAGTTGGATTGCACGTGCAATGCACGTGGTAAATTTTTAAATTTATTAATTTAGTATTTATTCATTTCATTAAGATTTATTTAATTTAAACCATGTATCAAACATATGGATAGAATTTAAAAATTCAAATGGATTGAATAATAAAATTACATTTATGTATCATTTGTTTGATAAATAGATTGTTTGCATCCTTAACAATAGAAAATAATGAATTATTTTATAAAAGTTTTTTATTAGGTATACAATTGAGTTTTAATCAACCAATGCTAACTATATACAGATGACAATAGATGACGTTTTTTATTAGGTATACAATTGAGTTTTAATCAACCAATGCTAACTATATACAGATGACAATAGATGACCTATTTAATCATAATCATCCAATATAAATAATCAACCAATGCTAACTATATACAGATGACAATAGATGACCTATTTAATCATAATCATCCAATATAAATGTTACTAAAATAGTAGAATCAATTTTTTCCTTTAGTCCTACTTATTTCTATCTCCTCAAAACAATTAATAGTTATACAACAAACAGTAGACATAATAAATATTTCTCGTTATTATTTGATATTTTGAGCTTTAATGGTTCCAAATTTCTTTTTAGTGGTAAGCTACTTATACCTATTAGGAGCGTGAGATTTTTTGATTACATGTTTATGAAATTCATTGAATCAAAGTGTATTGCAAGACTCTAAATTTTTTTGAAGATAGTATAGAGCAACTATTTTTGAGAAGGCTAAGAACCAAAAAATCATACTCTTAAAACAACAGTTCTATCATTGATAAAATCAATTGCAGATAAAACCAAAGGAGGAAAACCATGATTGTAGGCTGTCTAAAAATCACAACAGATAGCTGATCCCCATCAAACACCGATGACGAAAGTTACAATCTGACGACTTCCATAAGGCTACAATTTGAGGACTTTTACGTAGATCGCTGAAGGTTACAATCTGACGACCTTCACGACAACTGATGAAAGCTCTAATTCAACAGCCTTCACAATCAACATCGGGAGTTACAATCTGATGACTCTCATATTTTTAAGGAGCCAAGACGAAGGTTACAAGGTGATGATCTTTGCAACGCTTTAGCAAAAGAGACTACAAATTGACGGTCTCTTCATATTAAAACGCAGATATCTCTCAAACCGTAAGGAATTTGGCAAAATAGAGGAAGCGAACCGAAGCCTTTGGCTGGGTTCGGATGGCTCCATCTCGTCGAGATAGCTGATTTTCATATATAATTCGTCCCATTCCGACTTACGGTTTGAAAGTTATGGCCTGTTCTTCACAGCAAGTTATGTTCTGAAGTCCGTCTGCAAGACCAGACTTCGTCAGAACATTGGACTTAGCCTGAAGCTCGCCAAGCCCGCCTAAGGTTCGCCTCTGCATTACAGAGTCAAAACGCATAGGTCGAACCAGCGTTATAACCTCAAAACGCAGAGGTTATACTCGTGATATAACATCAAAACGTAGAGTTACGGCCCAACTGTGCGTTTTCATCCTAAAACAGGCCCAACTCTGCGTTTTCAGCCTAAAACGCAGAGTTCATCTCTAAAACAGCACGACCTATGCGTTCTCAGCCTAAAACAGGCCTAACTCTGCGTTTTCAGCCTAAAACGCAGAGTTCATCTCTAAAACAGCACGGCCTGTGCGTTCCAACTCCCAGCGAGCGCCCAACTCTGCGTCTCATCTCTAAGACGCAGAGTTAAGGTCCAGAACGCCAATTTAGGCATTTGATTTGTTCAAACACGAACTGAACAGTTCCAGGAACTATTTTTTCTCACGATTTGAGGGATTTCCGCCCCACTTAGGAGCGTATTAAGGGGGCAGTTACCACCCTTAATCCCCTATAAATATGAGAAACTCAATTGAGTTAAAAGGATCGGATTTTGTCTCATCAACAGAGGGAGATTCGGTCAAGAGCAAGCTTGGTAGCAAAGAAGATCCTTCATCCTTCGGCTGGGATTTTGGAGATCGACAATAGGAGCTTCTTCATCCTTGGCTTATAACCAACTTTCGGTTAAATCAACTCTTCCATAGAGTTTCAAACTCGTTCAGAGTTATCAACTCGATCAGAGTTCAAAACTTGCTCTGCAAGTTCTTCTAAAATTCGCTCTGAGTTATCAACTCGTTAAGAGTTATTTTTAAACTTGCCACGCAAGTTCTCCACAACGTCAAATCATGAGGAGAAGACCATGTTCCAGTGAATCAAGACGTGCGGATCGTCAACGGAGAGCAAACTCGACGCGAGCATTCGAGGGAGGCACTCCATCGCTACCAAGAAGAACCCATAATTAAACAAAGGGGAGAATCAAATTCATTCTCCTCTCTTTTGTAATCGGAATCCAAATTGTAATTGATTTTGAGAGAAATACAAGTCAATTTTTCTTTCATTGTCTTTTTACTGCAATTTTCCACAAACAATGATACTATAACTAAAAAGAATCAGATTTGTCTTTATAGTTATTGATCTGCTTTAATTAATATTTCCTGTAGATTTCTCTCAGATTGCGCTCCAAAAAGTTTCTTATTATAATCTTATCACAGGTTAAAAGCAATGATACTATAACTGTAGGCAAAGAGGAGGTATTGCTCAGATCCAGGTAACAACTATTTCTTCATGCCTTTTCAATTTCCTTTATTTGGAATCAGGGTGCATTATAAAAGTCTGTATAACTGCTTGTTATACCATAGGATGCTATAGCAACTGCCAGAAGTAATAAACTGCAGAAGCAATCTCAAAGAATCGACTGGAGCATCAATAGGGCACAGAAAGCATCAGTATATGCCTCAAATAAAGTAGGGAGTCATGTCGAAGATTTATCTCCCTCGGAGTCCTTATTAGAAAAGGCTATTCCGTCAATTGCTCTTGTTACAGTGGGTGAGGGTGGTTGGGCTGTTGGTGTAGTACTCAGCAGCCATGGCCTTGTACTCACAAATGCTCATATTTTGGAACCATGGAGATTTGGAAAAACATCTCTGCTAGGTTCGATGGAAAAATGTGCAGCAGCATCTTCTCATGAAAATTCTTTATATTATGTGACACATGAGCATGAAGCATCGTTCTTGAATTCAAATTACATAAGCTATAGAAAAATATCAGTTTGCTTGTGTTTGCATTATAATTATTGTTGGACCCTAGAGGGGGGTGATTAGGGTCAAGAGGCTCTAATATGCAATTAAAAATCAGCACAAGCAAACCACAAAATAAAAATGCGATAAAAGTAAGAGAGATAATGTTAGGAGTTCGTTATCCTTGACGCGCGATGTGTTAACGAGGTTCGGCCCTCTGGCCTACGTCCCCGCTCCCCACTCTCGAGGAGAAATCCACTACACACCCGGTTTGGAAGCCGGAACTTCGTCTACACAGCGATCTCCACAGATCTCTCTCACTACACAGTTTGATCTCACAGATCACACTCCCTCACAGTAGATCTCCACAGATCTCACTCACACAGCAGAAGAAAGAAATGCAAGAACCTCTCTTTACACAGCCCTTATAGCAAAGAGAAGGTATACTGAAGCTGGGAGGTGAATCACACTTGAAACAGGGAGAAAAACAGAATTTTGAAAATTTGCTCAGGAAACAGAAAAAGCTCTCTGGTTTTTCAAACGTTAGGGCAAGGAAGAAGAAGAGGTCTGGGGGGTTTATATAGAAAAGTTTAAATCATTTTAAAATAAAAACAAATCTTCCCAAATGAGATAATAATCTCTTCTTCAGACCCTCATCACAGACTGTGCCAAACACTAACAAGTGAAAGCACAGTAAACGATGTAAATGACCGTTTAAAAAAGTCGCGGCTGACCAGAGGCAAAAATCGGTTGACCGAAGGAAATTTCGGTCGACCGAAAAATGCCTTCGGTCGACCGACCGAAAAATGCCTTCGGTCGACCGACCGAAAAATTTGGTCGACCGCGAGCAGCTAAGGAAATTTGGTAAAACACGCAGAGACTCATCGGTCGACCGGCGCGGTCGACCGATTTAAAGATCGAAATTTCGGTCGACCGTACCGGTCGACCGACGAGGCGACGACTCTCTGGAAAAATACTGATGAAAGGTCATAGGATCGGTCGACCGGACCGGTCGACCGATTTCTGATATTTTCTGAAATCTGATTTTCGACCAACTTGAAATATTTGCAAAATATTTATTTGACCTCTGAAAATTCTGAAACTTTGTAAAATGTTTTTAATACTAAAAACAAACTGTTTGGAAAAAGAATTTTGCAGATAGGTACTCATACTTGTGAAAAATAGTATTTTGTGAAAAAAACGCTTAAAAGCACAAGTCTAAAAACGTGTGTGTGATTCCCAATAGCTTCAAGTAAACTCAGTAACTCTTTGCCTACATTCTAGCACTAGAGAGAAAAACAAAAGAAAGCTAATATCCTCATATAGAGAGCAATATACTTGAGCTTTGATATAGCTTGAATCGGATGAAGCTTTTGATCGAATTTGTCGTTCTTGAAATAACGTTGCTTCATCTCTTGGCCTCCTCCTCCTTTGGATATCTTCGTTGTAGCATATATTCCATCCATCATCCATTAATGGCACTAACGAGCTTGACAAATGAGTTTACTACATTTACACTCAATAAGCCATTAGTACCGATAATGGTGGTTGTAAGAACATCATCAAAACATAAGGGCTAACAATTATAAATACCCATGAGACTAATTTTTGCAATCTGATTTCACTTAGATCATGGAACATAATGATTTATCTAATAGCAACAAATTAACCATAACCATGTCTCATTTGCAACTTAACATGCTAGCTCTCATGGTTTTCAAACTCTACTCTGTTTCATCTCTTATGTCGTAATACAAAATCTAGCATGTCAGTGATAGTGCAGACATTTTGCTCCAATTGCTTGATGTATTGATTGTTAAAGTTTTTCAAACCCATTAATATTATTTTTTGATGAGTTGATTGCAAAGATAATTAGTCCTCTTTTCCTGCCAGGAACTCCTCTTTTAATTGAAGATACATTGAGGAAAAACCTACAAGAGAAGCAGCAGCTTGAATTAACTAAAATGAATGGTTCAAGTATTGATCTTCATAGCTTAGTGAAATCAACATACATGCTAGGTGTTGAAGATTCAAATTGGCCCGTGACACAGTTTATCAGGAGATTCTGATCCTTTTTAGACATAGAATGAATGAGGAATTTTGTCCAATGCTGCAAGATACAAGAGAATTCAGCATTAATGATATTATTAAAAATTAATAATTTATACAAACTGGAACAAAAAAATGAAAAGAAAAATAAATGAACCATTAGTAATATAATTCTTCCCCCTCTTCTCTTTCTGTGACTTGTTATGCTAGAAGAAGTATATGACAACATAAGTTTCCTGAGTCATAAGAGACATCAAGGGTTTCATCTAGAGCAAGTCATTTTTGCATGGAACAGAAATTTTATTACAGAATTGTCTTGCAAAACATAAGACTTTATAATATTGAAATGTACGGCTTTATGTAAATAGAGAAGGGAAAAAAGAATCTTCAGATTCTGATAGCAAGTTTCAAGGTCATCATTAACCAAAACATGGTCAAAAATACCTGGGGATCTTCCTTGCTCGAGCTCAGTTTTCGCATTTCTTAGCCTCTTTTGAACTTGTTACTCAGTTTCTGTTCCCCTACATAAAGCACAATAAGACACAAATACACTACATCAGATTTACAATATAAGAGAATGTATGTCTGCATAGTGAGTTACGCTTTTGAAAATACTCCAAAATCTCTTATATACCGAGAGCGAAGGTGCTTCTCAAGCTCATCAAATGATGGGTGGCAGATAAATACCAAAATCACTTCAAGAGAGCCTGCCCTCATTGATCTAGCACCCTGAACATCTATGTCGAGAATACATCTCTACAATAAAGAAATTGAAGAAAATATCGTCAAATTTACCAATTGCACAAACACAATAGTGATTAGCTGCCAATGATTTCACATAAATTACACATGTATTTGTTGAATTCATGTATTTGGCCAATCCAATTAATCTGTCTTTGCCATATTGAACAGTAACCTCTAAGGATGTTCAAATATACTACAAACTCCACCATCCTCTATGTAAATCTGTTTAGATTCTTATGTTGTTTTCTAATGATATGTCATTATCCAAATGATATCAAGCAATTAACTATATACTGTCAATTTCATAAAGTCTGAAATACAAGATGAAAACAATATGAAGATTACAAATCTCAAAGAAAATCTTCAACTGTTAAAATTCCAGATTTATTCAACCGCTTGTGGAATGAACCATCCTTCCTGATTTTTTCCAATCGCCAGACCTCATCCTTTAGAGCAGGTGTGTAGTGTTTCTTGTATACTGTAAAAATTTAAAAGGAAAGAAGTTTTTAAAAGACAATTTTTGAATGAACTATAATGGAGAACTGCAAATAAACATGTAGCAAACGCACATTCCCCTCTGTTATCTTTGACATTAAAAGCTTCCTTTTTTGCCTCTTGAACGCGAATTCCCTCACAGAAGCCTGAAGCAACCTTCAGACCAAGCCTAAAATTTGTACTACGTATTCAGTTAGATATGTCGGTAAATATTAGGTCTCCTAGGGTCCCAACACCTTCTTTAAGTGATACCTGCAAATCCTCAGTCAACAGTGGCCTCTTTCATTCTCGTTCTTTGACTACATGGCTTTCAAACTCTTCCTTTGTCCAGCCATCTTCATCTTTATTGTTGAAATCACCCTCAAGAACAACAATGTCTAATTTTATAGACGCCTCAGTTCCTGATGTTACAACATGGACAATATTTGCATCGAACAATACAACATGAATTGCAGCTTGTCATAATTTAGAAGTTGATAGATATCCTGCAGCTTGAAATAAGTTTGTTAACTGTCATAAATGATATGGATGATATGACATGCCTCTTTTCTTTATAAATGAATAAGATTTGGCATGTACCTCTTTGTAGGAATTGCAGGTACACAATGCTTTGCCACTTCAGCTCCATTCCCATTCAAGACAAGAACTGACCTGTATAAAAATGATAATCCGAGATTTAGCGAAGATGCGCACACACTATGATTAAGCATCATCTGAGTATGACAAGTATGAGTGTGAATTATATGATGGCATAGAATAACACACACTATGATTAAGCATCATCTGAGTATGACAAGTATGAGTGTGAATTATATGATGGCATAGAATAAGATTACATATTATTTGTCCCACAAACTTAAGTTTTGTAGAAACAAGTTAATTAATATGTCTTGATCAGAAAAATTAAAAATTAAACATTAGCATAGTTACCTTAGATTATAATAGTCCTTTCTAGGCCAAATAGTAGGTGGGAAATCACCAACTCTGTGTTCTGGGTTATCATAACGACCAAAGCACAAATCAAGTCCTCCCAGATAGCATATTTGATTGTCAACAATCACAATTTTGTCATGATGCGACCTGCACTTAACCAAAGTTTATTCATAAGCACAATTGCATGATGTATTAACTTCTTATAAAAAATAAATCTTAGGGAAGGGATGATTGATCCGTGGAATATTTCATACCACAAGTAAACACGAGTTGAGAAATGATCAGGATAGTGCAGAACTTTAACATTCTCATGAATGTTAAGCAGCCTTCGCTTACTGTATATACTGTTGATTTTCAAAGCAATGACAACTTCTTTGTAAAGAAGGATGTAAATCTACACATTAGTGTCAATTAGTTGGCAATCATGAGCAATTAGGATAGGCTACTCCACAAAAAATTTACAAATATATGTAGCATATTAATTAGAACCAAATAATTCAACTTCTTGATGCTAACAGAAAATATGGCATATTATCATTGACATGTAAAGATGATCCATGCTTCCATGTCAAACATCATACTTCAATTTCTGTTACAGGCGATAATATGGTTACAAAGCGAATAAGATAATGCAAGAAAGCTTTACTATAGTCACAACATCAGTAATTTCAGTGAATCAAGGTTGATGAACCAAATAACTAAAGCTAAAATAGAACAAGTGAAACAACACATGGTAATGCTGAAAGTACGTTAACACCCTGTTTAGCCTTTGCCTCTAGCAAGGAATCAAGCCGAGAAGACGCATGAATGTGAAAAGGACGTCGAAGGCATAACTCAAGACAGAGCCACCAGCCAATAATGAATATCTATAAACAAATTTTAATCATTTCAGAACTGTCCCTGTCAATATTTTGTAAATTGCTAGTTTCACATTATTGAATTAAATGAGTGAAGAAACTGACCTCTGATTTTGCTACTTCAATAGAAGAAGCAATTGAACCAAATGCAGCTTGTCCATCAACAAACCACTGGACCTGACTGCCATATTCTGTTAACCCCCTAGGAGGATCAAAAGAACCAAAACAGTGAGGCATACACCAGCCCCCCGGTGGTCGTAGTCCCACATCATTTATTGCCACAACCCAATCTTTAACTTTAGCACTGCTTCTCACTCTCAATTTAATGGTCCTATTCCCGCATGATACCTTTAAGATGAACGTAGATTAGAGATTGAACCAGAACAATGAAATCTTCATCAGTACCAGAAAATGAAGGCCAAAGTTTAATATGAAATGCAATACAAGTGCGGGCTAAGTCAAAATCGACAACAGTAGTAAAACAGTTCCAAAAAAAATCAACCACAATAGATTATATCAATATTGCTAACAGTGTCATGAATGTAATAAGATTAAGTTCAAGTACCTCTCGATTCAGAAATTTATCGGAAATATGAAAATTTACAAATGTAAACCAATAGCATAATAGTAAGAGGTTATAGAGTCAAAGCATATTGCATAAAATTTTGCTCTAGCAATGCTCCGAATAACAACAGTTAAATTATTGACTTATGACTTACGTAAAAAGACCAAGGAAAACAAAGTCTACTAAAACAACATGTTTTCATATAGGAATCTAACCCATAACAAAGACATTGTATGAGCCTAAAAGAAATGAGATCACAACCTGAGAAAATGGTAGCGATACAATAACAAATTTCCATTTTCAACTTGACATGTATATTTGACGCTTCATGAATCATGATTTTAGTTAGATAATCATTGTTTAAACGTCGAAAATACACAATTTAGAGTGCAAATCAAACTATATGCATCAATCTATCTAAGGAGATGAATAAAAACAACATAAAACAGGTCAACAAAAAATGATACCTCAATTCTGCAGAAAATTATACATAAAAAGCAAAAATAATCATGGGAGAAATACAGCAGAGGGACATGAAGCTTACTGTATAATAAGCTTTCTTAATTTCTTAAGCAGTTGCATTCTTACTCACTCCCAGTACATCATAATAGTCCCTTGCAAGCGCCAGCCTTGTTCCTAAAGTAATAAAAAAATAAGCATCCAGTAAAGAAAAATAAACTTTTACAAAACATTAAATTTATTCAATAGAGACAAAACCTACTATGAAAATTCCTCTTATTCATATAAAAGACGCCACTTTGAACACAACTCGTCCATTTTCCTACACAGTTTAGTCCTCATAAAATAAAACCCCAAAACCAATTAATTCATAATACAATGAAGAACGTACCTTTTCCCCAGTTGGAGCCTGAGGAAACCGTAGACAATGAAGTGCATATCCAACGTGATTACTGCTACGACTACAAACATCCAAGCAAAGAAATAATCAAATTACTAACGGATAATTAAAAAAAATCGAGAAAATTTGGGGGGTTGGGGTGGAAGTGGAACGACCACTTGCCTAAGGTTCATCATAAGTATATATATTATTCCAATGAAATAAATAATTTATAAGAAATGTGATGCAATGGTTTTGTAACGCTATACAGGTTATCCATCATTTTTTGAAACAGAACAAACTTACCTCACTTCTAGTAGAGTTGTCCATCATAACAGATGGTCTTACAGTAGGTGTTTCAATAAGAAGAAGTCGTAATATCATCCAATATGGACGATCTTTCTTTCGGTTTGAAACCTAGTAGTAAGCAATCTTCATTGATTATCCTTTTAAGAACACTGATAACCTGTCCATGTCATAAAACAAAAAAAATAAATTTGGACTACTAAAAGAAATAAATTAGAATAATAATTTTGCAAAATTAGCTACCTTCTCTGTAGAAATTTATTGTTTCCTCTCAACAGTTTCAGGAATATATGCTTGGTCATCAGATTTCTTGCAAAGGACTCATCAACAATAGTTTGTGTGCAGTATAGATAAGAAAAAAATAGTTGACATAAAAATTTAAAGTAATAAAGTGAACTATTATCTGAATATGTATTTAGATTAACACAATTTAATGTTAAATTTAAGCTAATAACTACAATAACAATCAAAGCATGCAATAGTTATCAGACAACTATATGAGCATATGTTTATAAATCATAATTTGTCCTAACAAATTAAATTCATCAGTTCATAATCTTAAAAGCATATGAAAAGTTCATTTGAAATCATTCAACCAATTTGTAAACGTAATGAAAATTAAAAATTGTTCATGTTTAATTTTTGTGGGCCCTTGATCAAGACTCCTCCATCTTTATCTTCTTTTTTGGTAAATCGAGAACTGAATCATCGTCATCAATGTTGATTGTGATGTCTTCTTGGATTTGGATTTCTTGTGCTATTATCTTTCCTTGTGCATGTTCATCCTTTGAGTTCTCATCCAACTTTACAAGGAACTTGTATGTCTTTCTGATGTTGAGAACAAACTTTTGAAAGAATGAACTCTGATTATTTTTCTGTTTTAATGAGGAAAAAATTAAGAAAGAATGAACTCTGATTATTTTTCTGTTTTAATGAGGAAAAAATTAAGATCTTATACATGAAACATATTGTTTTATATGTATAAAATATAATAAAGTAAGAAGTTACCTCTTTTATATCATCCATGAATTTTTGAGGCTTGCATCCTATCAAAGTTTCTGCTGCGTCAAAAAGTGTTACTATTGCATTATCTGTCGCATCTTCAACTATGATTTTAACCACATACCTACATTTTGTATTATCATTATGCATCAGATGATATTTTTATATTTAATCTTTATATTTTTCTTTCATGAGTAATTGGTAGTACTTTACCTCGGTATACAATCTTCATTGTTTTTTTGACAATTTTGACATTTTTTATAAATAGTTTTTTCTACTTTTTTATTGCAACCTTTGCAGTAGTAGTACCAAGCCTCATGCCTATTTAAGATAGTAGTTATTTTTGTCGTAAAGCTACCATATTGTGCCTGTAGAGTTGTAAAAATTTAGTTAGTTATAATCGTAGTTTATATGTATTTAGTAAATAAAATAATAAATTATAAAATAATTGGAAAAAATAGTAAAAAAAGAATTTTTTTAAATTAATGTAAAAGTAATAAAATCTATTTATATCAGCTTGTTTTGAAACTGAAGCTCTTGATTCATTAATATTTTATAGTAGGATTTTTAATATCATACCTTTGATGTTTTTTGTGAAGCTTGCATAATGTCAACAATATTCATTTTTGCTGTATTTTTAAATAGCCTTGACGGAGCAACATTAGTCTTGATATTGTCTTTTGAAAGAGCCCTGCACATAATTTTAAAAATATTAAAATTTTAATTTATTAAGTTACTTTTTTTATTTGAATTACCATTCTTGCATGTCCTTAGCAAGCTGTATTTCAGGGTTGATACATATTGTTGATGCAATTTGCGAAGTCATGCACATCTCCCCTACATATATAATAGTTATAATTAGAATTTGATATTTTTTGATAAATAATTTACAATTTAATAATAAAAAATATTAACTTTGTACAATGATATTTTAAAATCTGATAGTGCTATTATAGTTGTCTCGTTCATATTGCCTTCAATAATTGAACCTTCATTGATTGCTAAATCTTCGAATAAAGTTACAGATAATGTTATCTCACTGTGTAAGAAAAGTTAGATAATTTTTGGTTAATATATTATATTTTGAATAATTAATTTATTGTGAAATAAAAGTATGCGTGTATACTCTTTGTCTACTATAATGATGTCCCGCCTTGTGTCCGCCTTATTATATCTTGTAACGTACTTGATCATAGGCTTGACATTTGCTAT